TACTTATATGCATACTTTCAGGTGTCAGTTCTACTTTGAACATTGGCTGGGGAATTTTATTTCTATTTATTATGTTCATTGCCATTTTGACTTCGAAGCCCTTATCGTTAAGTCCATCTATTATCTCATTGATTGGGACTGTTGGTTCGATTCCTTTGATAACCACTTGTAATCCTTTGCTACTTTTAAGTTGGTAGGTGTAGTAATTCATTTTTTCATTTTCGAGGTATTTCGCAACTGATCGATAGTTTTGTTCGTCATTGACTTGTATTTTTGTTTCATTTATATTACCCCTTTTTATGTACGTGACAAGAGTGTTTGCGCCAATTGTATCAGCTATTTTTTTGACCAGTTCAGCACAATTTGCCTGTCGAACATAAATAGGTGGCGGTCTTAATTTTTTGGCCTTGGGTGTTTGGGTGATCTCATCTTCATTTGGGACACTTAGTATCGCAAATCTATTGTTTGCTAGTGCCTTATGTGGCACAGTGTTCTCGGTTATTTTAGTTATTTTAGCTGCATTGTTGTTCTTCACATTTTGTGGGCTCAATTTTCTTTTGATTTGCACATAGCGATCGAGCCCAGTCTGAATTAACGCTCCGTTAGCATTTTTTTGAACTTATTGGTTGGGAGAGTTGGGGCTTGTCGCAGTGGGTCGACGGGCGCTGTATCGGGCAGTATCGGGCGCTGAGCAATTGCAGTGGTTGTTGTTGTGGTTGTTGTCGTTGTTGTGGTTTTTGTCGTTGTTGTGGTCGAAGACACAGTTTTGAGCGAGGGCATTGTACTAAATGTTGTCGATATTAGCAAATCGCTGGTTAGGCAGTACGAGTCGGGGGATGGGCACTGAGCACTCCATGACCCACTTTGCAATGCAGGGGAGAGAGAGCGTGCTCTCTACTCGTTCACTTGCAGTGATGCAGTTTTTGTTGGTACTGCTGCCTTTGGCGAGCGTATAGAGAAGTACGCGTTGTTTTTTGCTTGCGAGAGCCGACGCTCGTCTTGTTGTTGTTGCCGGGCTTGGCTCATTTTGGCTTTGGTTACAGTGCTTGTGCTCTTTACCGAGCTGGTGCTCTTAAACGTTGACATTTGTTCTTTTCTATTATTTCTATTAGTCTTTATTACTCGATTGGATGGTATTCATGGGCAGCACGATCAGTACCCATGCCTACCCCGAGCACTTTTTCGCGAACTAATTTATGATTAATCGCGATTAATTGATTTAATTGATTTTCACCGCGGAGCGATACAAAAATACGTCTGTAGTCGTTGACGGTTGACGGTTGTAATAAGTGTAACTTTCTTTCTGCAAGTATGCAGGTACGGGTTTTACCTGTGGTGTCAGCTACGTATAGCTTATAGTCTTGAGTCCTAAGACCCTGTTTCCAAAGATCCAGGGCTCTTGAATGAGGATTAAGTCGGCTCCACCCTTGGCTAGGTGGAGCAGTAAGGCGGCGCATGCTGCCTTACAATGATGGAGGTTTATCTGCAGGAGTGTCAGGGACATTGCTCTCAGTGGACTCCGTGTCCTTTTCGCCATCGATGCGTCTAAGACCCCTGGCTAGGTCGCTTGCATCAGACTCGTAGTGGTCCAAGATGTCGTCCGACATCTCCGACGCTACGTCCGACGCCGCGGTTTGGCTTTACGCTTCCGTGACCTCTGGCAGCTCGAGATCTGGTTGGATCTCAGCTTGCATGCCCTTAGAGTCGGATTTGTAGGGGGCTATGGTCAGCTTCCGGTAGCCATAATCCACTTCTCCGTCCGACTTTTTCCCTCGCCACCTCCGCAAATGATCTGTTCGCAGGGTGGTTTTTCGTCCGCTTGGCTTGCTGGGCATGGCCTGGCTGTTGAGCGGGATCAACCGCTGAGCGCTGCCGCTTGATCGGGTGCTTGGCTTCGCCCTTTCCAGCTTTGGCTGCCTAGAAATTCGTGATAATTGAGCTGGCCCAAAGCCTCTGATCGTTTCCCTTCACTGACGACCTAAATTCAGGCGGCTTCTTTCCCTGTGGTGCATTACCTCCGCCTGCCGAGGTTGACGGGGGTTCCCCGGTCACAAGGCGCTTTCCAGCCGCGATTACGCTCTGCTTGGCAGCCCCCCCGATACCCGGTTTACCCCTGGTGCACCCCGACGTGGATGGGCCCGATTGGCTTATCGGAGCTCTCCTCGCATCGGTAGCTGCTAGAAGACGGCGGACAGACTGAGTTTCCTTCCCCGTCTTCTTAGGACCTGGTTTTCCAGGCGTTGATGTAGAGGGATTATCTTGTCCCTCCGGTACTTTAGGAGGAGTACCGAGCTCCTTTGTTATTTTTTTATTTTGTTTAGGCATATGGTTCCCACGAGTAGGCGGGAAGGGGATAGTCACCCGAGGCATAGCCTGCTTGCCCCGGGAAGCCTGATTTAAACTGGAGGTGAGCAGGTATCCAGAGTTCACATATACAGCACTGAGCTCCCCCTCGGCCACGCATTCATTAGCATATCCTGGTTCACCGTGGATTGGGGTAATTTCACTACGAGAGTTTTCTTCTCTCCGCCCGACTACAATTAGCCAGCATCCGTGGCAGAGTCTTGACCGTACCAGGACCTGCTTCCAGCCGCCCCCACGAGGAGAGTATAGTCGCACTTCCACTGGTGTGTACAGTTACGGCGGGTGACTGGTCGCTCGTGATCCCGCCGCATCCTAGAAACCAGGAGCAAGGCCGCATCGCTCCCACCCCTAGTCCAAGGGTCCAGTTATGGCGAGACAGCCCTTCATCTGTTAATCCCCCTGTATCACCCGAACGGCTGACGGCCAACAAGGCAAATTAATTTAAATAAGCCACCACCCGGGAGCTCAATTTAGATATCGAATAATTTGATGAAAGAAAGTTTTGGACATAGCGGTACTTTTGATTTTGGAGCGTTGAAGAAATCATTGCTCGGTCCAGAAGAGGAGACCTAAGAGTTAGACTTAAAACTTGAGGCAGGAGGTATAATGGGATTGAAAACTAAGTTGTATACAATCTCACTAATGTATTTAACCCAATTAACTATTATAAGTAGACTGAACGTCGATTTTGTATACAAACAAAAGCAACACCATACCTTCAATATCCTCAAAAATTATAAAAATTATTTTAAATCGCTCTGCCAGTGAGGTGACAGTTTTAAGACGGATGATTACACATTATTCAAATGCAAGAAGCCCCAGAAAGGGTGCATGACTTAAAAACTACTTTTGACTGATGATAGTAAAGTTGTATTTTATGGTAAGATAGACTCAAAAGAATATGTTTGGCATTCACAGTACCACTCAAAATCATGAAAAAAAGCATTGGGCATGTTAGTCTGAGCCCTATGGGGATCAGCTCATTTGAACTAGTGCCACTGGCTTTGGAGTATTGATCAAAACTGTGCTTGAAGGCATACTTAAGAATACATTACATTCATATTCCAGTTGGAAAATACATTACATTCATATTCCAGTTTAAAAATTCCTTTCAAAAGGATGCTTAAACAGGATAATGACCTAAAACTCTCACAAAAGCTCGCTAGAAATTGGGTTTAATCGGAAAATATCGACGTTTTGCAATGTCCAGCTCAGTCAACGGATCTTAATCTCATCGAAATCTTATGGGAAAATACCAAATACATTGTTGCAACTGAAAATCCGTTAGCAAGAGCCAAGTTTTACCATGTGGTTCAATGAATATTGTCTCAAATCCTCTAGAAGGATTGGCAAATGATTAATGACCCATTTCCGGCCGGTGCATATTCGACGATGGCATGCGGTCGGCGGAGAATGTCAGCAAAGGACTGAAAACAGTGTCCAAGGATTTTATTGCCGGGCAGCTGTTTTTTTTCTTTGTGGCTGGCTATGTGACGACAGCCTCAACGGTGGCATTTACCATCTACGAGTTTACTTTTTCATTGAACAGCATATTTTATGGGTACCTCGGCTAATATGACGTAAAACAAGAAGATAAAAAACTTTTTTTTTTCTTATTGTAGCTCTATATACTTTTTCCAGCATTTCTCCAATTTTTTTTCCCTTCCAAAAAATGGACTTGTCAAGGTCCTTAAAATAGACATTTTTTGTGAGATGACTTCAACATTGGACTCAAACCTGTTTCCGCACAGCCATTTGTTCTGGTTAGGATACAAGAAATAGGCACTATGAACTAAATACAGAAAATTGGGTGAGAAAGGCGCAATTCGAAGCATAAATCATGAATTTTTGCAATGAAAACTGCACATGTCTGCACTCTTTCATTTTCCTGGTAGAATCGGCCCTAGGAACCTACTGTTTTGACTGCTTTGGTTTCTGGTGTGTTTTGATGGATCCACGGTTAATCCACGATAACGAAACGGCGAAAAAACTCATCCTTATTGTGGTTGAACAATGTCTAACACTCCCTCGAAGTTGTCTCACGAGTGCGTTTGTGTAGGATTTTTGGCAAACTCGGCAGCTATCTTGCGAACAGCTTTCTCATACCCAAGTGCTCACTCAAAATATAAATCATTTCCTCCGTTGAAATCGATGAAGAATAGATCCCATAGTACTTATCAAGCTTTTCCTTGCTTTCAGTGGTCATGTTTTCCGCAATAAATAATATTTAATACGAACAAGAACTTCACTGAGAACCACAAACAAACTGGCACAGCTTCATAAAATTTTGAAAGGAATCAGCTGATAGATGCCCTTTGACAGAAAAATATTGTCATATCAATTAAGAGTCGGATAATTTAAAAAGTCTGGGAAAAGGCCGATTATGGCAAAGATTGAATTCTGCGAATTACCCCCTTCGGCGTGTTGACAATTAATGTAAGTGAGAGTATACGAAGAAGCAAACTGTTTGTTTTAAAGAGTATGTTAATTGCCGTATGCTAGAAAAGAGTTTGATTTAGTTTATGCTTAAGAGATAGTTGTCTTGTGTCTTTGTGCTGCCCTGTGCCTGCGTTTAGCCGAACAGACACTAATCATCAATTTGTATCGTAATTAAATAGATGATGCATTTTTTTCAGGCATCTACTTCAGAATTGCTGAAGTGCTTAGGAATTTTTCTACATTGTCGCTGCCAAAGACTTAGTAACTTCGATGCTGGCGATGCTGTGATGTGGCTAAGAGCAGTTGATCGTAGTTTATTGCTGCAAGGATGGCAGGTAAGATGAGTGTGTTACAGAGCCGTAAAGTATATATTTTCGTGGTGAACATATAAACATCTTCTATATATATACAAATCTCGTGTCACTGTGTTTGTGGTTGAACTCCTCCCAAATGTCTTGACCGATTTTCATGAAATTTTTGGATAGGTTGTAAAGTATTTTTTATCTTCAAATTATCACCCATTAACTTTTAGTCGTGATTTTAGTGTTTTTTTTTTTATCAAGTAGTGCTTTACTTTAGTTGTCAGTGTGTTTTGTGACATGATCTAATAAAATGTGTTAAAGTGTTAAAATGCCAGTTGCACCGTCGATATAATCATGCAAGATTAAGGTGACATCATAGCTTAGGTAGAGCTGCGCATTGGTCGTAAATTATTTTTGATCTTCATATTTCCACCAATATCCTTTCTATCTCGATTTTAGTGTTTTTGGACTAAGTAGTGCTCTGAGTAAATTTGGTAAATTTTTTGTCATTATACAGTGCCAGCAGGATGCTGGGGGGTCAGTTGCACAGTCAAAAAAATAATGCAACATTCATGCGACATAATAGAGCAGAAAGAAGCGAAGAATATAACGAAAATGTGCGTGAGGACATATCGCACTTGCGGGAGTCTCAATCACAAGATATACAAAATGAACAAGGACAATTGGAACGGAGACGTGGGCGGCGCTATATACATGGTCAACATCAGAAAGTATTGATTGGTGCTATGGACAAGGAATGTCCCCATTATCACGCACTCAAATAAGATGAGTCAAATGGTATGTGCGAATCAGGACAAGTGGAACTAACTGAAATGGAGACATCACCGGAACCATTGAACAGCTTGCTAATCGGCACAGATCTAGATTAAAAAATCTTTCTGAAGTTCATTCGAAAATTCAATTCATGCTTCCAAATGACATCGTTCGGAGCAAACGAAATAGTCAACAATATTGTTTTAACAAATATACTTCAATCGCGCACTCGCCAATCGCGTAGATCACTTTGCGGTTACCATAACCTCAATTCGGCAATATCCAGGCGAATAGTTGGAAAGATGGATGAATTACTTAACCAGCACAATGAATAATTGAAATTATTAAAATCACACATGTACATACGTAGATGGATCTGTATTAATATTGAAGAACGGGATCCCGCAACAGGTGTCGAAATAAACAAGACAGTCAGTTCGATGGATTTTTATGCGTATCGTATGATGATTCGACGCAGTCAGGATAATATTACTCTACGATGTAGTAAGCTATGCCAACAACTTATGGTCGACATATACGCAAAGAGAGCGAAGCGAGTGAGCAGGGGGCTTGCCAGCTATCCAAGAGTGGCGGAGAGGCGGTTGTAATGGGAAGGAGCCCCGTCTGTGGGGAGAGAAGGACCCCGAGAGAGCAGCGGGATAATGGGATCCGGCCGGTAGTGGTCCTGCGCATGTCCAAATATGGCCATGAGATCACGCCACCAGCCTCAACGAAGAGCAGCAATAACGGAATAACGGAAGCGGATGGCCAGATGATTGCATATACAAGTGCAAGCCCAGGAGAGATAATAAGAAAGATCACTCGCCTGCTAGGTGAGTGCATTGAGAGCAAACAGGTCGTGCGTGGAGTAAGTGTGGCGGATTTGGGCCCACTGCCAAGAATCTAAGGCCCTCCAATTCTTAGACCCGACGGTGCCACGTTTGGGAAACCCTATGCGCCACATACAATCTGCGCACGATGGGTTCGCTATCAATAGACACGCCCGGCTCTTTGTCTCCTACCACATGCCTCCACTCCAACGTCCCAGGCTGAAGACAAGCAAGATCCGTACGAGTTCATGGCGTTGCCCGTCGGGGCGGGGCAGTCATCGCTGTGGAGGTTATCAGTAGAGTCCCCAGAGGAGCTTATCGCAAATCTGGCTATCCTGGTGAAGAGCCGATCCCTTAGCTGACTGCGGGCGAGAGCGAGGAGGACGGCCATGCTGCCATGCCCTCACGCTCAAGGGAGTCGCGTAGCCCACTCCGGGCTGGAGAGGAGAAGGCCATAAGGCAACCACGCTTGGGAGTTGTCCTTCCGGTCCTTCGACGGGACGGCAATGCTGCTCTAGTTTCTGGAGGTGTAGTGTTCGTCAGACATTTATGGTCAGGACCTGGATCACATTCCGAGTGCGAAGCCGGATGTTGTTTGTCGCTAATAACAGCGATACTTTGATACTTTGAGACATTGCTGCAGGAGGTGAGGATCCGGAAACAGAAATGCGGAGAACCCTTCAAGGACTACATAGTGGAATCGTATACGCTCATGCGACCACTCAAATTCACACCGGACGAGCAGTTGGAACTCATCAGGGAGAACAGCATGCTGGACCTGAAGATGTTCATCCGGCCACACAGACGAGACGGTCGAAGAATTCCTTACCAGGGAATTGGGAGAGCTCGAAAAGATTAAAGAAACATCAAGCGATGCGCATACAATCAAGCAGAGTTATTATCCCAAGAATCCCAAGATGCAGGCCGATATCAACCAGAAAGTGGACGAATTGCTCAAGCTAGGATGCATCGTGGGTTTCTGCGTCGACTTAAGGCACATCAACGCCAAATCCTTAAATAATTCCTATCCCATGCTCCGGCTAGATTTCAGTTGGACCAGTTCCGGGAGGCACGCTTTATCAGCAGCCTGTATTTAAAGGACGGATAATGGCAGATATTAAAGAATCGTTTGCCTGCCAGGACGACATAATAGTCATTGAAAGAACCAAGGAAGAGCACGGGCGGTACCTGGAAGAGTTGCTGTGGCGTTTTCAAAAGGCAAACTTGAGACTAAACTTTGGTACATGCCAATTCTTCCGGCAAAAGTTGTGTTAATTGGGACACCTGGTGACGGGAGAGGGCTCGTGCACAAATCCGCCACCCTGGCGCAGACGTTGAGCACACTATTAAAGAAGAAGGCGAAGACAACATGAATAAAGGACAACCACAATAACGAGGACATCACGAGGAGAACACCAGCGGCGATTGTGAGGGTCAGCAGGCAAGGAATGCCGGAGGTTATAATATGCGTTCCAGAGCCCGTCCGGAGAACATGGCAAAGTTGAAATATACAAGAGTCTGATCAACAAATAGAAGTAGGAACGAGTGGCACAAATGCTGTCACGCAGGATAGAATCCGTGTCGAACCCGAGTATAAGGGACGTTAAATAATAAAGAAGGACCTTAATGCTAAGGAGTGCTCGACGATCCGCAGGAACCAGCAGGAGCAAATGCACCAAGGCCTCGAAAAGGAGAAAGAAGGCATGAACATCGGTTGTTAGAATGGCAAGGAAAATACCGGAAGATACATGGATTCCAAAGACGTGCTGTGCGTTGAGTTCGAGGGCGCGGTGGCTCCAGATGGGGGTTCGGAGGATGAGCCAAGATCCTGGTCACAGTCCAGGACAAGGCCAGCTTCGAACGTCGGGACCAGTCAAAAAGCGGATGCCGACCGGATGATACCCGAGTCCGAGCCGCTGCACGGAGGTAACGTGAAAACTGAATTTCGAACCAGTCCGAGGGCAAGAGGCCAGGTGGCTGGCCGGCATTCGACAGCCAGGTCGGAGACCTGATGACCTGTTGATTGCGGGTTCGAATGATTGTCAGCATCCTGTTCTGAAGCCAGAGGTCTGGCTTGAAACGGAGGATTGTGGGATGAGGAACTTCAATGAATCTAAGCAGCATGGTGATCATCGTCGTAAGGGTGCAATCAGGTCAGGAATAGAAAAAAAAAGGGAATTGACTTATTAGATAATTATGAGTAAAAAAATATGAAATCGACCCGAATCGGCTGCCAAGGGTGAACGCGGTGAGCGCGCCGGATAGAAGACAAACGTCACTTTAAGAAAGGGAGTGGCAAGAGTCGAGAAAGCTTTTAGCGCAAGGAACACAGGCACGAGCCCATAAAAATGGAAAGGAGAAGAACAAATTTTTCTACAAGAATTTTGTAGATTACTGGGAGCTTTAGGGCAGTGGGGTTGGCTGCTGTCCGAAGTTAGGATAGGGAGGAATCGAAGGAAAATTGAAAAACAAGTGCTCGGGGGAAAAAAGTAATGCCACAATTTTTTTGTTTCATATTTTAAAATGTTCTTTCATTTCTTTAAATCTTCTTTATTCATAATGTTATTTTCGCGTCAGTGCTGGGACTGCTAGTCTGATGACGAGTTGCATTGCGAAAATCAGAATTTTTGCTTTGTTGGAAATCTGACGGTGGGTCAGAGCTTGTAATTAAGGGGATTGTGTTTTGTGTGTTTATTTTTATTCTTAATTTTAGGTGTGGTGTAGGTGTACTCATAAGCGGGAGCTGCCTGTTTGGGACAAGCCATGGGGACCTGTTCGAAGGAAAGGAAGTTAAAATGAGGCAATCGAGCCTGATGCGTCGGGGGTATTGTTCCTTCAAGTCCCATAGCCAGCCACCGGAGAACTGGCTCTCGTGGGAAGGTTACCGGGCACGGAGGGATATAGACCGAGGAGCGTTTACAGAAGCGAGCGGCCAGGACTGAGAGATGGCCAGGAGGCGGCCAACGGAGCGCACCAAGGAGCAAGTGTCGACAGAGGTTGAGGACCGGCTGGTTGAACAGGTTGCCGAGGAGAAGCGATGTGGCGAAATGGCGTAGGCGGATCGCAGTGGCAGCTGCAAAGGAGGCACTGAGACAGCAGCGTGTGTGAGAGGACGCGCAGACGTTCTTCATGGCACTGAAAGCGTATGGCGACGACTTAAGGAACCTTTCAACTCGGAGCACTTGTCTCAGCCTTGCAATTGATATAGATGTCAATTGGACTCAGATTAATCAAGGTGTCCAGAGCTGGCTGGGGTGGATTTAAGTGATCCGGTGATCGCAAAGCAAACTGCCCGTCGGACTTTGGAGGTTTTCTAGTTTTTCAATAAAAGCAGCGTCGCCAGAGCAATCAAGTCCATCTGGACTCGCCCAGGACCAAGACCAGACTTATTAATCACCTATTTTTTTGGCTTTATTGCTTTGGTAGAGAGTACGATTTCTCTGCAATACACACCAGCATTGCAATAAATCTTCCTCCTCGGAGCGCATTATACTCCATTTTACTTACTAGCGCATTATCCTCCGCAACCACATCTTCTCCCGGATCGCATTATCTTCCGCATCATTTACGTCTCTCAGAGTGCATTACCATCTACCACGATCTCTTCTTTCCGAGCTTTTAACCTCCGATACCATATCCCTACAGCTCGCATCGAGTAGCCACGTGCATCCTGTAAAAATCCAGTATTTGCAGTTACATGGGTTTCCTCGAGCAAAAATTAACACGCGCAGCGAAACACTCGGTTAACCACGCGGCTAGAATGTTCTTAAATCTCGACATATTTTTTCTAGCGAAACCTATGTAACAATTTAATTTAACTAACAACCCGAACTGTAATCACTGAATCCACTTACCTGAATTTAGAAACGCTGAAAAACTACTTTTAAAGAAATAAACATCTAAATAGACGCACAACAACAAAAATCACAGGCGCTCGCAACAAAAGATTGCACTAATTAATCGGGTTTTCTCCCATTACCCCTTTGAGGAGACGAAATGAGCGTGAGTAGAAGAGTTAGGGTCGAATGCAGGTAGAGAAAACTAAAAATATGAGAGAGAGGGAAATCTATGGATATCTGTTTCTCTTTCTTACGTGTCTGCTTTGATCTGCAGAAGTTGAAGCTGGACAGAATTTCATGCTCACCCCGAACAATTTTTTCAATGACACTTTCATGCCGTGACAGCCAGAACAGCAGGTGCTGTAATAGACGAGTACGTAAGCGGCAGTACAGCAGCTGCGCCTTTTCCTATGCACATAAGATAGATATTAGAAGAAACGCAGTTCCTCAAAAAAATGTTACACTATAGAGAGGCTGTAATTTAGTTTTTGAATGGACTAAAGAAGGGCAAAAAAGTCAAACAATAGGTAGAACAGCGTTCAAGCACCGCTTAAAATTTTATTTTATAAATTCTAATTTCTTATTGACCCTTGCACCAATAATAACTAAAATGTTGTAAGCTAATTAAATAAAAAACACAATACCATATAATTTTTTGTGCATTTTAAGTAGCGAATTTTTACAAATTAGTGACAATTTTAAGTAGGTTTGTTTTTTATGATGACCAGGCAAACCAGTATGAGAAGGTGGGACTATTTTTTAGTGAACTTTGACTAAATACCCCCTCTTATACAAAATAATGTACGTTCATCCAATCTTAAGAAACGCAAAAAATGTAAAACAATGCAAAAAGTTTGTGTAGGCCTTCAGTAAATAGAACATTTGATGGAAATATGTTATATATAATTCTCCGACTGAACATATCCTAACATAACATAGCTGAAGGGTCTGTAATCCTTGGGTGAGTTGTGGTTTATATTCTCAGCATTGTGGATAAAGACCACTCTTTCATTAAGGTGTCATACTTTGCAATTTTTGTTATTATTACCTTTAACTGGCTATATTTAAGATAACTTCATTGCGACACCTGCAACTTCAATATAACTAATATTTTTTTTATTTTTACTTTAGGATGTCGCATTTATTAACCCGGCAAATGTTGTTTTTGTATACATGCTAGTTCGTGATTTGGTTGATGGAGAGGAATCCAAAGAATCGGACCTACAAGCTTCAGTGCTAACCTGCTTGTATCTCTCATACTCATATATGGGAAATGAAATAAGTTATCCTCTTAAGCCGTTTTTGGTTGAAGACTCAAAGGACAAGTTTTGGGACAGGTAAAACAAAATCTGTTAATTTTCTATAAATATGTATAATTTTTTTTTTTCGTCCGAAAACTGGATTCAAGACGGGGTCAGATTGTAGACGCGGGGGTCGGTACAAGACGGTGTCAGATTGAATAGCTCGATTTCAAGACAATGGTTGCTAGGTCCAGACTGAATCAAAGGGCAGGCGGGCCGAATTGCCCGTGCCCTAATGCGAGCTAGAGAGCGACAGATCGAGAAAGTGATAGCAAAGCAAAGGAAAGAAAGAAAGGCGCGAGATGAAGTGGCGAAAGAGAACGGCGCATAGGCTGCTGCCGTGAGGGAGCATGAATGCGTGCGTACAGTGGGCAGTAGGCTGGGCCAAAAATTAAACAAAAAAAAAATTTTTTTTCAAGAGAATTGGGGGAATTTCAACAGAATTGGGGGGGTGTAATTCTGTTCTTTGTTATTCAATAAAATTATACAATTTTTTTTTCAAATTTTTAGTTTAATGTTTGGGGGTTGCTAGCACGGAAAAAAAAATTTAATTCGTCGGTTTTTTCAAGTAATATAGAATCTTAGAAACTTGTTCATATTGATAATAAGGTATTTTTATTTTTTTTTAGTTGCTGTTAAAATTTAACGATTGGTGAAAGTCAAGAATTTCAGCTGAGGTTGATATATTTAGTTAACTAGTTCGCCAAAACTTGTGCAGGTTTTTTACTGCCAATAACTGATTAATGACGATATGAATGGTATCAATATATATGCAATAGATTTCACCAATTATCCAACTCATTCAGGAAAATTTTTTTTTTTAATTTCTTGATTTAAATTTTGTTTACATTCAGTAGCAACCACTAAAAAAAAAAAATAAATAAAAACATGTAAATTACTATTAAATGCAAGGTAACAAAACTAGGGGGTGTCCCGTTTGAATTCCAAAAAAAAGAAATTTTGGACCAGCCTAGTGGGCCGTGCAAACAACGAACAATAATAAGGATTTACTCTACTGCTGCACCACTGGCTATAATATATGCATTTGTCCACTATTTGGCTGCGTAACCAAACAATGTCGAAGTTTTTACATATGTATGTGTGTGTAACCAGAGAATACCAATTTTTGTTAAGCCCGTACTCAAACGAGAAGGAACGTGTGAGTCGCTTCTGGTGACGCGACTCTACTTATACCCGTACTCAGTCAGTATATACATTTTTGAGCTTATAATTTTTAAGAATTTTAATATTAAAAAAAATAATTTTAATTTTACATTTTTTTGCTACATCTGTTATCTACATCTGCATATACTATGTATATTAGCCAACGACCAGGCTACATTTACCTTCACGCTCGCACACTCTGCCGCGTTCAGTGCGCGAGCAACCCCTAGCGGAGGAGATGTATAATCTAAATAGTACATTTATAATCTACATGTTAGATGTAGAATATACATAGTATATGTAGATGTAGATAACAGATGTAGCAAATGTAAAATGTAAAATGTTTTTTTTAATTCTAAAATTCTAAAAAATCATATGCTCAAAAATGTAAATACTGACTGAGTACGGGTATAAGTGGAGTCGCGTCTTTAGAAGCGACTCACACGTTCCTTCTCGTTAAGATTCCTTTCGATGACTTGCTCAAATGTATTTGAATGGATGAAAGACTGTGACATAATGTTTAATTTAATCTATATTATAAATTTGTAGAAAAAATCGGGTATCTCCGCAACGCGTGCACCAAATTGCATTCCGTTTTTTTTAAATGATAGCCAGAGAATGTGGCCTGGTTCGCACAAACAAATTTGTACTTTTCTGTAAATAGGTTTCTCAAGAATAAAAAATGAATCAAACAAATCTTAAATTTGGTCAAAAAGTGTTTGTTTGAATGAATATTTCATTTCATTTCTGCGCAATGCGTGCACTAAATTGCATGCGGGTTTTTTAAATGATAGCCAGAGTGTGGCATAGTTTCTATACAAAAGTTCTTACTTTTCTATAAGTATACACAAAAGAGTGCGTTTAAACTAATCAGTGTCGTTTTTAATGTTAAATGTCGTTACAAGTTGTGGCTTCAAGGAGCCGTAAAAGTAGCCAAGACATTACACACCGCAATGAAAATAATCGTCTATGCACAGCAAGGCCCCGTTCAAATCAACGTAACAATGTTGCAACAACAACTGCAAATTAACGTCGTGATATAGAAAATCTACAAGGTATTGCATTCGCGTAAAATAGTGTCACCGATTACGCTTCTCATAGGCAAATTATAATTGGTCCAGTGAACAACTGTTGTCGCCATTGTCAGTCATTAAAATTTAAAGGTGAAGCAGATTTGCTGTGATTTGAAATTGACTGAATTGGGCAGCCCACCACAACCATTGAGCACATTACTTAATGAATTGACACCTGAGTCTAATCATTTATTGAACAATATACGAAAGTATAATTCGAGTTTTCAAATAACATATTTTGTCGCCACAAATATCATAAAAGAGAACTTCATGCCAACGTTAAAAGTAATGAAATAGTTTGGGTTATGCAAATTGAATGTTTGTTCTCATTCTATCGTATATTTTAATTTACAAGGAAGCATTGATCGCTACTGAAGACCTTTGCTTGATGATGGCAAGCAAAGCATTAGCTCACTTAGGTATGACAACGCCTAATCGTGAAATACACGACCTTTTCAACAAAGAACTGGAGCGTGAACAACAGTATCATCATGCCGATCTTAATGCGTTTGTGCAAAACAATGAGCCACAGTTGAATATCAATCAAAGAACGGCTTACGACCAAATATTGCGAGCTATCGAAGAACAACATGGACTGTTCAAAAAAACGTTTGTCATTTCGATTATTTTGGCTACCATTCGAGCACAAGGTTGAATCGCATTGGCTCTGGCTTCGTCTGACATCGCTGCCACGGTGGTTGCACGGCGCACTATGCCCTTAAGTTGCCCTTGAACATGTAGGCTGACGATAATACTACATGCAATATTTTAAAAAGATCTGCAATGACGAGAGTGCTGCACCAATGCTCTCTTATTGTATGGGATGAGTGTACTATGGACAACAAGAAGTCACTGGATGCACATTATAGTACGCTGAAAGATATTCGTGGTGATAAGCTATTGTTTGGTGGTGCATTGATATTGTTAGCAGGTGATTTTAGACAAACATTGCCTGTAGTCAAACTAGGAACTGCTGCTGATGAAACTAATGCGTTTTTGAAAACATATAATTTGTGGCGCTCTGTGGAAACATTTAGATTGACTGACTACAAATGTACGTGTTCAGTTGTAAAACGATGCTTCAGCAGATTTGTTTTCCAGACAACTGTTAGTAATTGTTATTGGCATACTTCCCGTTGACAATTCTGGCTTCATAACGCTTCCAAATAATTTTTCCACTTTTGTGCCATCGAAGGAATACTTGATTCAGAGTGTGTTTCCAAATATTGTACAAAATTATAGAAACCATTACTGGTTGAAAGAGCAATTTTGGCCGGAAAAAATAAAGATGTCATTTAGATCAACGCATCTGTTTTGAATTCCATCCCAGGATAAATACTATTTAAAAGTAAAAGTTGGAGTCACCATAATTATGCTGCGGAATCATAATCCACTACGACTTTGCAATAGTAAAAGACTTTCTGTGAAAAAAGTTATGACTAATTTACTTGAAGCAACTATTTTGACTGGGATATTTTGTGGTGAACACGTTTTAATTCCGAGAATTCCGATGATTCCGACTGACATGCAATTTAATTTTAAACGACTACACTTTCCGATTCGTCTTGCTTTTGCTATGACTATTAATAAATTACAAGGACAGTCGTTGCATTTTGTGGTTTCAATTTGGAGCATCCGGTATTTTCACATGGTCAACTGTATGTAGCGTGCTCACGACTAGGCAAATCTTCGGCATTAATTATTCATTGTACCTACGGCAAAACAAAGAATATTGTTTATCACAAAGCATTGCAATAAATAAAATATGTCTACATCAAAATTATCATTTTTTAATTTCGATGAATTCCTAAACATTAAATTCATTTAGTAGGCAGCGAAGCGCGCGGGTCTGCTAGTAGCCCATAAAAACACAAGACTATTTTTTTTGGAAATTCTCTCTTGCAAATTCGATTATTCTTGTATTATTATTATATGTATTCTAATAACATCCATCAGCCATGATACTGGTTTCCCAAACGAATTGTTTTTCCTTTGGCAATTTAATTATTTTGGTTAAATATGCTTTTTGTTTTGTTAATCACATCATATGAAACCAAACGAGAAGGAACGTGTGAGTCGCTTCTGGGGACGCGACTATACTTATACCCGTTCTCAGTCAGTAAATACATTTTTGAGCTTATGATTTTTTAGAATTTAAAAATAAAAAAAATTTACATTTGACATTTTTTTGCTATATCTGTTATCTACATCTACAATGTATATTCTACATCTAACATATAGATTGTACATGTACCATTTGGATTTTACATCTCCTGAGCTAGGGGTTGCTCGCGCACTGAGCGCGACAGAGTGTGCTTGCGAGAAAGATAATGAGCAGCGTGTCTCTGGCTGAATGGTGGCGGGGAAGCAACTGAAAATTAATTCCTCCATTCTGGCTATAATTATGATCCGATCTGATTCAGATTGGTCAATCTGGTAGATATGGGCATTCTCTACGATACTGCGTTTTTATCGTGTGTTATGAAATACATTTGTAGCGGTGTGATATCACATGAGTTTGGAAAATAAATTTGGTTTCTCTAGCTCTTATAGTCTCTGAGATCTAGGCGCTCATCATGACGGACAGACAGACGGACGGACAGACGGACATGTTGTAACGAACCATGGTTCTAACCAAATCGTCACAAACAGAGGAGTGTCAGCGCCTCCACGCCGGTCGGGAAGAATAATCTAACTGATATACACAGAGCCAACAGAACCATGGCTCTAGCCACTGTTCTCCAGAAATAGCTGTGTTTTAGCACCTCCGGAAAATAAAATTGTCATAAGCAACGCGCG